AGTCTAGCCGGCATTTCGCACTTATAGTGCAAGTGGGGCCAGGGAGAACGGAAACGCTCGTTTCTCAAAAAGTAGAGGGAATCTAGCGGTCTCACTCGATCAGAAGGTGGGAAATATATAAATCTAGTCAGGTAAAAAGGTTTGAAAGGAATTTAACGCACATGTATAGAGAAAATGGTGCATTGGCCAGGTCGGTCAGTATCGGAACTTGAAATGCAAATGCCAGGGAGAACGGAAGCGCTCAGATCTCGCATAGTACACGGAATCAAGTGGTCTCACTCAAATCAAAAGTAGAAAATATATTCATCTAATGAACGTAAGGGTTTGAAAGGTAACTAACGCACATGTGTAGAGAAAATGGTGCATCGGCCAATCTTGCCGGCATTTCGCACTTATAGTGCAAGTACGTTCACGGAAAACTGAAATGCTCATTTCTCAAAAAGTAAAGGAAATCTAGTGGTCTCACTCGATCAGAAGGTGGGAAATATATAAATCTAGTGAGCTAATAAGGTTTGAAAGGTATCTAATGCACATGTATATGGAAAATGGTGCATTGGCCAGGTCTGTCAGTATGGGAACTTAGAGTGCAAATGTCTGGGAGAACGGAACCGCTCAGATCTCGCATAGTACACGAAATCTAGCGGTCTCACTCAAATATAAGGTAGGAAATATATTAATCGAGTGAACGTAGGTTTTTGGAAGGTAACTAACGCACATGTGTAGAGAAAATGGTGCATCGGCCAGTCTGGCCGGCATTTCGCACTTATAGTGCAAGTAGGGCCAGTGAGAATGGAAACGCTCGTTTCTCAAAAAGTAGAGGGAATCTAGCGGTCTCACTCGATCAAAAGGTGGGAAATATATAAACCTAGTGAGCTAATAAGGATTGAAAGGAATCTAATGAGAAGATTTGAACGAGAATGAAGCAACTATGAATGAAGTGAGTACATATATGAAACCCTAATTGGGTTGTACCCCCTATGGGATACCCCACTATAGCATACACAACAGCATAAGCTATATAAGGGGTCACAAGACCAGTCAAGCAAAGCAAAGCAAAGCAAGCTCAGGGTGGATCACAAAGTCACCACACAGTCCAAGCACAAGGTCAAGGCCACAAGGCGAGTTCACATGCAGGAGGAGACGTATATATTTAAGGCTAAACAAGCAAGAGCAGGTATATATATATGCAAGAGTACAAGCAAGATCAAGAGGTGAGCAGGTGAGGCAAGACTGGGACAAGTCTCAGCAGAGTGCAGAAGCGCTGATGATCACAAGGCGGAAGTGCCTTGGTGAAAACTGTGAGAATGACAACGAGAATGAATTAACTATGAATGAAGTGGGTACAAGTACTAACCCTAATTGGTTTGTACCCCCTATGGGATACCCCACTATAGCCTACACAAAAGCATAAGCTATAATGTTCTGACACACCCCCATAGGCAAAGTGGGGGAGAACAAGGGGTCACAAGACCAGTCAAGCAAAGCAAAGCAAAGCAAGCTCAGGGTGGATCACAACGTCACCACACAGTCTGAGGACAAGGTCAAGGCCACAAGGCCAGTTCACATGCAGGAGGAGACATATATATATAAGTCTAAACAAGCAAGAGCAGGTATATATATATGCAAGAGTACAAGTAAGGTCAAGAGGTGAGCAAGTGAGGCAAGACTGGGACAAGTCCGAGCTGAGTGCAGAAACGGTGATGAACACAAGGCGGAAGTGCCTTGGTGAAAACATCAGCAGTGTTGGCTGTCAGAACATTATAGCTTATATATTTGTGTAGGCTATAGTGGGGTATCCCATAGGGGGTACAACCCCATCAGGGTTTCCTATATGTACTCACTTCATTCATAGTTCATCCATTCTCGTTCTAGTTTCTTTCTCATGGTTTCAGAGGTGCTAGAGGTGCTGGAGGTGCTGGAGGTGCTGGAGGTGCAGGAGCTGCTGGAGGTGCTGCTGGAGGTGCTGGAGCTACTGGAGGTGCTGCTGGAGCGGGTACTCCTGCTGGGGGTCCTGGTGCTGACCCTGTTGTTTCTGGCGTCGCCACGCAGCCTCGACCGTACTTCGTTCCACTCCTGCAGCAGGTTCTTGGTCTTACACCTTCTACTGGTCCTCCTCCTCCCTTAGAGGGTCCACAGCCTGTCCAGTCACAGTCACAGCTACAACCTGCCTCCCCTTTGTCTGCTCCTTCTCCCTACGCTGGTCCTACTGGAGGTCTTACTGAGCGTCGTGAGCCTACGTCTCCTCCTGCGTTGCCTGTTCGTGCTGCGCGCGCTAGTGGTCGCGGTTCGCGTCATCGTCCTCCTCCTGTCCCTGGCACGCACCGGATGTCTCTGCGTCCGTCCACTGCTCCTCTGCGTGCCCCTTTGCCTTCTCCTCCTGCTTCCTCTCTTCCTGCTCTTGCCGACCCGGAGGCGGACTCTCTTCGTGCTGCCAGTCCTACTGTCACGCGTCTCCTTGTTACTGCCGTCACTGACCCTTCTTTCGAGTCTACTGCTGCATCTGCCCTTGTTACTGAGCTCGTCGACTTTGCTGCTCGCTGTCGCCTAGACTACGCTGCGAGTCTTGTCGCTGAGTCTGAGTCTGTCTGTCCTTCGTCCGTCGGGGGTGAGTGTGCCCTTGGCACGGACGTCCTTGAGGACAGGCAGGAGGAGTTCCAGTGTCTGGCCGCTGCTTCACCTCATCTTGTGTCCGTAGTGCTTACCCCTGAGGGAGACCCTGATGCACTTGACATCCCGACTCCGCGCTCTTACGCGGAGGCGATAGAGGGTCCCTACTCCTCTCAGTGGCAGGCAGCTATGGATGCAGAGATGGCTTCCTGGAAGTCCACAGGCACCTACGTTGACGCTGTCCCCCCTCCTGGGGTGAACATCGTCAGTGGCATGTGGATCTTTAGGGTGAAGCGGCAGCCGGGTTCTCCGCCTGTCTTCAAGGCGCGTTACGTGGCTCGTGGCTTCAGTCAGCGGCTGGGAGTTGACTACTTTCAGACCTTCTCCCCTACCCCAAAGATGACCACTCTTCGAGTACTGCTGCACGTTGCTGCTCACCGTGACTACGAGCTGCACTCTCTCGACTTCAGCACTGCTTTCTTGCAGGGCAGCCTGCACGAGGAGATCTGGCTGCGCCGCCCACCTGGCTTCACTGGGTTGTTCCCTCCTGGTACCCAGTGGAGTCTCCGGCGTCCAGTCTACGGTCTCCGCCAGGCGCCACGTGAGTGGCACGACACACTGAGGACTACACTGGCGGCACTTGGGTTTGCTCCTTCTACTGTCGACCCGTTGCTGTTTCTGCGCACCGACACCTCTCTGCCGCCGTTCTACATCCTTGTGTACGTCGACGACTTGGTCTTTGCCACAGCTGACACTGCTGGACTCGCCTACCTGAAGTCCGAGCTGCAGAAGAGACACATGTGCACTGACCTGGGTGAACTGCGCAGCTACCTTGGCTTGCAGATCACCCGGGACAGAGCACGCCGCACCATTACCCTGACTCAGTCACACATGGTGCAGCAGGTCCTTCAGCGCTTCGGCTTCACGTACTCCTCGCCTCAGGCCACTCCTCTGCCTACTCGCCACTTGCTCTCAGCTCTGCCTTCGGATGAGTCCGTAGAGTCAAGTGGCCCGTATCCAGAGCTTGTTGGCTGCCTCATGTACCTGATGACCTGCACACGACCTGACCTTGCATACCCTCTTAGCATTCTCGCACGCTATGTTGCTCCTGGGAGACACCGACCAGAGCACATGGCTGCAGCGAAGAGGGTGTTGCGCTACTTGTGCAGTACGTCGGGCATGGGGCTAGTGCTTGGAGGGCGGAGTCCAGTGGTCCTCACTGGGCACGCGGACGCCTCGTGGGCTGACGACCAGGCTACGCAGCGGTCGTCACAGGGTTACACTTTCAGTCTTGGTTGTGGCTCTATTTCGTGGCGGCCTACCCGCTCATCTTCTGTTCTCGGCTCCAGTTGTGAGGCTGAGATCTACGCCGGGGCTATGGCTGCTCAGGAGCTTCGCTGGCTCACCTACCTGCTGGCCGGCCTTGGAGAGCCACCTCGTTCTCCTTTAGTCCTGTACGTAGACAACAAGGCCATGCTGGCCTTGTGTCGAGAGCTGCGACTGGAGCACAGAACAAAGCACATTGCTCTCCGCTACTTTCTTGCTCGTGAGCTACAGCAGCGTGGACAGTTGCGGCTTGCGTACGTGGCCTCTAAGGCCAACACTGCTGATGTCTTCACCAAGGCAGGGTTTAGGGTTTAGGGTTTAGGGCGGCAGGACCTCCTCCAGCGCCAGCAGCACCCGCAGCACGACCACCACCAAAACATACAGTAGTAGTCTCCGAACCAACACCCTCAGCAGCTCCAGCTCTAGGCGGACCCGCAGGCCCAGCAGCTCCGGGACCGGCGGCATCAGCACCCTCAGCGGCCGAAGAAGCGCCAGCTCCAGCAATACGCCTCCAGCGGCGAGCAAACCATTCACGCAGCTCCTGTGGAGAGAGTGGCTCCCGCCGAGACGAAACACCCAGAGAACCTCCAGGCCTAGCACCCCAAGGCTCAACACCCACGCGCGCAGCACCCTCAGAGTCAGCACCCCCAGGCTCAGCACCCCCAGAGGTAGCACCCCAAGGCTCAGCACCCCCAGGCTCAGCAACCCCAGGCTCAGCACCCCCAGGCTCAGCACCCCCAGACTCAGCACCCCCAGGCTCAGCACCCCCAGACTCAGCACCCCCAGAGTCAACACCCCCAGCCTCAGCACCCCTAGCAGTATCTGAGTCACCAGCAACCTCGACCGGCTCGACTGCATCGACCTGGGACACACCTGAAGGGGCACGACCCTAAGGGGGAAGGGGGTCTACCGGGGGGGGACCTGGTACAAGGAAGTGCGGCAGCGGCGGGAGGGAAGGAGTGCGGTAGGGGAAGAGGCGGTAGAAGGGGACTGACTCGTCGAACGTGACGTCTTGGGAGGACAAAACACGACGAGAGGTGGGGTGGTAGAACTGGCACCCTGGGGCGTCAGGGGGGGAAGCCTAGGAAGACAAAGGGAGCAGCACGAGGGGACAGCTTGTCCGCAGACAGGTCACGGACAAACGCCCGAGATCCCCAGACACGGAACGCAGACGCATCACCGACCTTCCCCGTCCACAGCAGATCTGGGGAGGTCTCCGGCCGGGAGACCCTGGGGTGAAGGTTGAGCTGATGCGCCGCGTACCGAACTGCAAACGGCCACAGAAAATGGGGGGCAGCCGCATGCATCATGGACGTACGAGCGACGTCCATGACCATGTCAATGCGGCGCTCAGCAATCCCATTTTGCTGTGGAGAGTCCGGAACCGTGAAGGTCTGGCGGATGCCTCGTGCACGACAGTAGGCTCGCAGAAGGCCAGAGGAGAACTCTCTGCCTCGGTCAGAGTGCAGACGCAGAACAGGAAAGTCCGAGCCGAAGCTCCTCCTGAGCTGGAGACGAGCCGCGCGGATCCAGTCGATCAACACCTCAGTGACATCACCCTTGCTGCGCAAGGGGAAGACTGTGGTGTAACGCGAGTAGTCGTCAACCACCAGCAGGAAGTAGCGCTCGTGACCCTGTCCACGGACGCGGGCCGGGCCCCACACGTCCATGTGAAGCGTCTGCAGAGTAGCCTCTGTCGGGGGAAACTGGGAGGAGTGAGGGGCAGCTTGGAGCCGCCCCTCCACATAGGGGATACACGAAGGTCCTGGCCCCGAAGGAAGGGGAGGGAGAGATCGGGGGAGACCAGAGACAAGGATACGGGAAGCCATGCCCCGAAGATGAGGCAAGGAGGGGTGGCCAAGACGGTGGTGCCACAAGAGAGTCTCGTGAGACAGGAGGCGACACGAGCAGGGGGCAGACTCAGGACCAGACCTGGATGCAGCAGCAAACACCTGACCCGACGCAGCTACCTGGCCAGACGTAGGGACTGGAGGAGACTCAATGGTCAGGGTGTAGAGACTCGGCCCGAGCCGACGCGAAAACGTGGCTAGGTGTCGGCCTGTGCGGGCGTCCGAGCAGTGGGTCCCCCGCTGACTTGCAGGAGTAAAATGGTGAACCCCCACATCCTGCAGGTCAGCACCACTCACCAAGTTTGTCGAGAACGAGGGGAGGTACAGACCCGACAGGGTGCCCGAGGGGGCAGCCGGACACGGGAGGACAGTGGAGAAGTGAGCGAGGTTAGGACCCCCAGAGGGGTCAGCCGGGGAGACTGCAACCGGCCGACCATGTGGCGTGAGTGTGGTGCGGTCTCGAAAGAAGGAGCGAGAAGCCCCTGAGTCAAGTGTGAAGGTGAGGGAGGCCGAAGCCGACGCGGCACCTGAGAGAGCAGCCTCACTAGTACCTGAGAGCGCAGCCTCACTAGTACCTGAGAACGCAGACGCACAGGCAGCTAGAGCAGTAGCCTCACAAGCACCTAGCGCAGCAGTACCAATGCCCGGGCCGGGCGGGAAACACCGGTAATAGTCACCCTCATCACTAACAGTCACAGCATACATGGCAGCAAGGATAGCATCAAAGTCAAGATCAAAGATAGCCACGCCAGCCCTGGACAGCTCTCCCCAGCATGGGATCTCCGTGGCCTCCGGAAACTGCTAACGCCAAGCGTCCGTCAGGCGGCCAAAACAGCGCTGGGTGGGGTGGGCACCCCCACAGTGCTCACCCGCGCGGTCGCCGGTGCGAAGGACGTAGGCGCAGGGACCAAGTCCCCCACCACGTTGACGCTGCGTGTACCACTCACGGAGCTGCTGAGGGATGGGGACGTCGCGAGAACGCTGCTGCTGCTGCTGCTGCTGCTAGCGTTGACCACCCCCAGTGCCGCTCCGCTGTGAAGTGCCACTCCGACCACCTCCACCACCTCCTCCTCCACCGCCTCCACCTCCGCCACCGCCGCCACCCCCGCCGGTACCGCCGCCGTCGACGCCGCCTCCGCCACCACTGCTGCCACTAGCACCCCCACCCCCGCCAACTCCTCCACCGCCACCCCCACTCCCTCCGCCGCCTCCACCTCCACCGCCACCGCCCCCGCTAGCCCCACCCGCTCCCTTGCCCCCCTTGCCTTTGCCAGGGCGACGTCTCCCGCTAGGGGCAGACGCCGCACCGACGGACTCAAGACCAACGAGGGCGGCCGCAGCGGCAGAGGCGACAGAGGGCAAGAGAGGGGAAGGAGAACACCCCTCAAAGATGGGGGCGCGGGGGTCACCTCGAGAGGCCCCAACAGCGACGATGCTCTTCTCCGCCGCTAGGAGGGCCTTCTCTAGGCTGTGGACTATGAGAGTGGTGGGACAGACCGCGAGGAAGTGGTCCCGGACTACACGAAGGGAGTCGGGGAGGCGGGTGACTAAGAAGTAGAGAGTGATGTACATGGGGGGGGGGGGGGGGGGGGTTCTTGGCGCAGAAGTCAGCAGGAAGCGCAGCGCGGTAGCGGGTGTCACTAGTGCGGAGATGCGTAATGAGATCAGCGACTGTGGGAAAGGCGGCAAGGTCAGGGAAGAGGAAGGGTAGCATGAGGCGGCTCAGTGCAGCACTGGCAGGGGAGGAGTAGCGTGCAACGACAGCGTCATACAAGGTCTGAGCACTCTTGTACTGACTAAAGTGCGCACGCTCAGAGGTAGGGAGGTGGCGACGCACAGCAAGACGTGCAGCAGCATCGCGCGTAGCCCACTGGGAGCGAACAATAGGGTCAGCATCAGCAGCAGGGGCAGGGGAAGCGCCAGAGGTAAGGTCAAAGAGAGAGAGGCCGTTTGCCCAATCGCACTGTAAGAACAGCTGGAGGTCATCTACCCAGACCTCAAAGTCAATGGCCCGACCCTCAGCGTCAAAAGCGAGGACACTGGGGGTAGCCATGACGACAGACGCCTAGCAGTGCAAGCAGTAGGGTGAGGGCAGCGCAGTGAAAAAGAAGGCTTTGTGCTCACCAAGCTGGGTAGAACGGGCCGTATGGAAGTAGGGCAGCTCAGCGGCCGGCGGCTCGGCTGCGGGGCGGCGCGGCTGCTCGGCGGCTCGGCTGCTCGGCTGCTGGGCGGCTCGGCTGCGGGGCGGCTCGGCTGCAAGGCGGCTCGGCTGCTTGGCGGCTCGGCTGCGGTGCGGCTCGGCTGATCGGCGGCTCGGCTGCTCGGCTGCTGGGCGGCTCGGCGGCTCGGCTGCTCGGCGGCTCGGCGGCTCGGCGGTCGGCTGCTAGGCGGCTCGGCGGCTCAGCGGCTGGGCGACCCGGCGGTCGGGCGGTGGGTGGGCCGCAGGTAGGGCGGCTGGCGGGCCGCTGAGTAGGGCGGCGGGGCCGTCGAGGTAGGGTAGGGCGGCGGGGCCGCGAAGTAGGGTAGGGCGGCGGGGCCTCGACGTAGGGCGGCGGGGCTGTCAAAGTAGGGCAGCGGGGCCGTCGAAGTAGGGCGGCGGGGCCGCCACGTAGGGCGGCGGCGCCGTCGAAGGGTAGGGCGGCGAGGCCGCGACGTAGGGTAGGGCGGCGGGGCCGTCGAAGTAGGGCGGCGAGGCCGCGACGTAGGGTGGCGGGGCCGTCAAAGTAGGGCGGCGGGGCCGCGACGTAGGGCGGCGGCGCCGTCGATGGGTAGGGCGACGGGGCCGCGACGTAGGGAAGGGCGGCAGGGCCGCGACGTAGGGCGGCGGGGCCATCGAAGTAGGGCGGCGGGGCCGCGACTTAGGGCGGCGGCGCCGTCGAAGGGTAGGGCGGCGGGGCCGCGACGTAGGGCAGCGGGGCCGCTAGAGTAGGGCAGCGGGGCCGCGACTCAAAGGCGGTGCGACGGGCCGCTGGGAGGGGGGGAGGGCGACACTACGGGTCGCTAAAAAAAAAAAAGCGTGCGCCTCGGAGCGCGCTTCGGTGGGCCCAAGAAACTGTCCCTAGGAGGGGACCTGCTCTGATTCCATGTGAGAATGAGAACAAGAATCAATGAACTATGAGTGAAGTGGGTACAAGTACTAACCCTAATTGGGTTGTACCCCCTATGGGAAACCTCACTATAGCCTACACAAAAGCATAAGCTATAATGTTATGACAAAAACATCAGCAGTGTTGGCCTCAGAGGCCACATACACAAGTCGCAACTGACCACGCTGCTGCAGCTCACGAGCAAGAAACTAACGGAGAGCAATGTGCTTCGTTCTGTGCTCCAAGCGCTGCTCTCGACACAAGGCCAGCATGACCTTGTTGTCTACGTACAGGACTAGAGGAGAACGAGGCGGCTCTCCAAGGTCAGTCAGCAGGTAGGTGAGCCAGCGAAGCTCCTGTGCAGCCATGGCCCCGGCGTAGATCTCAGCCTCACAACTGGAGCCGAGAACAGAAGACGAGCGAGTAGCCCGCCACGAGACAGAGCCGGAACCAAGACTCAAGATGTAACCCTGCGACGACCGCTGCGTAGCCTGGTCGTCAGCCCAAGAAGCGTCCGCGTGCCCAGTGAGGACCACTGGACTCCGCCCTCCAAGCACTAGCCCCATGCCCGACGTACTGCACAAGTAGCGCAACACCCTCTTTGCTGCAGCCATGTGCTCTGGTCGGTGTCTCCCAGGAGCAACATAGCGTGCAAGAATGCTAAGAGGGTATGCAAGGTCAGGTCGTGTGCAGGTCATCAGGTACATGAGGCAGCCAACAAGCTCTGGATACGGGCCACTCGACTCTACGGACTCATTCGAAGGCAGAGCTGAGAGCGAGTGGCGAGTAGACAGAGGAGTGGCCTGAGGCGAGGAGTACGTGAAGCCGAAGCGCTGAAGGACCTGCTGCACCATGTGTGACTGAGTCAAGGTAATGGTGCGGCGTGCTCTATCCCGAGTGATCTGCAAGCCAAGGTAGCTGCGCAGTTCACCCAGGTCTGTGCACATGTGTCTCTTCTGCAGCTCAGACTTCACGTAGGAGAGTCCAGCAGTGTCCGCTGTGGCAAAGACCAAGTTGTCGACGTACACGAGGATGTAGAACGGCGGCAGAGAAGTGTCGGTGCGTAGAAACAGCGACGCGTCAGCAGTAGAGGGAGCAAACCCAAGAGCCGCAAGCGTAGTCCTCGGTGAGTCGTGCCACTCGCGTGGTGCCTGGCGGAGACCGTAGACTGGCCGTCGGAGGCTCCACTGGGTGCCAGGAGGGAAAGTCCCAGTGAAGCCAGGTGGACGGCGCAGCCAGATCTCCTCGTGCAGGCTACCCTGCAGGAAAGCTGTGCTGAAGTCAAGGGAGTGAAGCTCGTAGTCACGCTGCGCGGCTATGTGTAGTAGCACCCAAAGAGTGGTCATCTTCGGGGTGGGAGAGAAAGTCTGAAAGGAGTCAACTCCCAGCCGCTGACTGAAGCCACGAGCTACGTACCGCGCCTTGAAGACAGATGGAGAGCCCGGCGGCCGCTTCACCTTGAAGATCCACATGCCACTGACGATGTTCGCCCCAGGAGGGGGAACCGCGTCAACGTAGGTGCCTGTGGACTTCCAGGAAGCCATCTCTGCATCCATAGCTGTCTACCCTTGAGAGGAGTAGGGACCCTCTACGGCCTCCGCGTAAGAGCGCGCAGTCGGGATGTCAAGTGCATCCGGGTCTCCCTCAGGGGCAAGCAGTACCGACGCGAGATGAGGTGAAGCAGCTGCCAGACACTGGAACTCCTCCTGCCTGTCCTCAAGGACGTCCGTGCCAAGAGCACACTCACCCCCAACGGACGGAGGACAGACAGACGTAGACTCAGCAACAAGACAAGCAGCGTAGTCTAGGCGACAGCGAGCAGCAAAATTGACGAGCTCAGTAACCAGAGCAGACGCAGCAGAGGACTCAAAAGAGGGGTCAGTGACAACAGTAGCAAGAAGACGCGTGACAGTAGGACTGGCAGCGCGAAGAGAGTCCGACTCCGGGTCGGTAAGTGCAGGAAAAGAGGACGCAGGAGGAGAAGGCAAAGGGGCACGCAGGGGAGTAGTGGACGGACGCAGAGACATCCGGTGCGTGCCAGGGACAGGAGGAGGACGCTGACGCGTACCGCGACCACTAGAGCGAGCAGCACGGACACGCGACGCAGGACGAGACGCAGGCTCACGACGCTCAGCAAGACCTCTAGTAAGACCAGCGTAGGGAGAAGGAGCAGGAAGAGGGGAGGCCGGCGGTAACTGTAACTGTGACTGGACAGGCGGTGGACACTCTAAGGGAGGAGGAAGACCAAGAACCTGCTGAAGGAGCGGAACGAAGTATGGCCGAGGCCGCGCGGTGACTCCAGACACAGCAGGGACAGCACCAGCACCCTCAGCGGCAACACCAGCACCGCCAGCACCAGCAGTACCCGCAGCAGAACGGCCGGCAGGACCAACAGAAGTAGCCTCCGTGCCAACACCCTCCGCAGGACGAGCACCAGTCGTACCCGCAGGTACAGCAGCTCCAGCACCCTCAGCGGCCGAAGAAACTCCAGCTCCAGCAGTACGCCTCCAGCGCCGGGCAAACCACTCGCGCAGCTCCTGAGGAGAGAGTGGCTCTTGCCGAGACGAAGCACCGAGAGAACCACCAGGCCCAGCACCGCCTGACGGCACACAAGCAGGTCCAGCGGCCACGGGCTCCGCACTCCCAGGCTCAGCAGCTCCAGACTCAGCACCCACAGGCTCAGCAGCTCCAGGCTCAGCACCCCCAGGCTCAGCAGCTCCAGGCTCAGCACCCCCAGGCGCAGCACCCCCAGGCTCAGCACCCCCAGGCTCAGCACCCTCAGGCTCAGCACCCGAAGTCGCAGTACCCTCAGGCTCAGCACCCACGCGCGCAGCACCCCCAGAGCCGGCACCCCCAGGCGCAGCACCCGCAGCAGTACCAGAGTCACCAGCAACCTTGACTGGCTTGACCGCGTCTACCTGGGACACACCTCAAGGGGCAGGACCCTGAGGGGGTAGGGGGTCTACTGGGAGAGGACCTAGTACCAGGAAGTGCGGAGGCGGGGGGAGGGACGGAGTGTGGTAGGGGAAGAGGCGGTAGAAGGGGACGGACTCGTCGAACGTGACGTCCTGGGAGGACAGAACACGACGAGAGGCGGGGTGGTAGAACTGCCACCCTGGCGCGTCAGGGGGGAAGCCAAGGAAGACACAGGGAGCAGCACGAGGGGACAGCTTGTTCGCAGACAAGTCGCGGACAAACGCCCGAGATCCCCAGACACGGAACGCAGACGCATCGCCCACCTTCCCCGTCCACAGCAAGGCTGGGGAGGTCTCCCGGCGGGAGACCCTGGGGTGAAGGTTGAGCTGATGCGCCGCGTACCGAACCGCAAACGGCCACAGAAAATGGGGGCCAGCCGCATGCATCATGGACGTACGAGCGACGTCCATGACCATGCCGATGCGGCGCTCAGCAATCCCATTCTGCTGCGGAGAGTCCGGAAGCGTAAAGGTCTGGCGTATGCCTCGTGCACGACAGTAGGCTCGCAGAAGGCCAGAGGAGAACTCTCCACCTCGCTCAGAGTGCGGACGCAGAATAGGAAAGTTCGAGCTGAAGCTCCTCCTGAGCTGGAGACGAGCTGCGCTAATCCAGTCGATCAACACCGCAGTGACATCACCCCTGCTGCGCAAGGGGAAGACCGTGGTGTAACGCGAGTAGTCGTCAACCACCAGCAGGAAGTAGCGCTCGTGACCCTGTCCACGGACGCGGGCCGGGCCCCACACGTCCATGTGAAGCATCTGCAGAGGAGCCTCTGTCTAGGGAAACTGGGAGGAGTGAGGGGCCGCCCGGAGCCGCCCCTCGACACAGGGGACACAGGAAGGTCCTGGCCCCGAAGGAAGGGGAGGGAGAGACTGAGGAAGACTAGAGACAAGGACACGGGAAGCCATGCCCGGAAGACGCGGCAAGGAGGGGTGGCCCAGACGGTGGTGCCACAGGAGAGTCTCGTGAGACAGGAGGCGACACGAGCAGGGGGCAGACTCAGGACCAGACCGGGACGCAGCAGCAAACACCTGACCCGACGCAGCTACCTGGCCAGACGCAGGGACAGGAGGAGACTCAGTGGTCAGGGTGTAGAGACTCGACCTCGGCCGACTTGAGAACGTGGCCAGGTGTCGGCCTGTGCGGGCGTCCTAGCAGTGGGTCACCCGCTGACTTGCAGGAGTAAACTGGTGAACCCCCGCATCCTGCAGGTCAGCACCACTCACCAAGTTCGTCGAGAACGAGGGGAGGTACAGACCAGACAGAGTGCCCGAGGGGGCAGCCGGACACGGGAGGACAGTGGAGAAGTGAGAGAGGACAGGACCCCTAGAGGGGTCCGCCAGGGAAACTGCAACCGGCCGACCAAGCGGCGTGAGTGTGGTGAGGTCTCGAAAGAAGGAGCGAGAAGCCCCGGAGTCAAGTGTGAAGGTGAGGGTGGCCGAAGCCGACGCAGTACCTGAGAGCGCAGCCTCACCAGTACCTGAGAGCGCAGACGCACTTGCACCTAGAGCAGCAGCCTCACAAGCACCTAGCGCAGCAGTACCAATGCCCGGTTCGGGCGGGAAACACCGGTACCAGTCACCCTCATCACTAATAGTCACAGGATACATGGCAGCAAGGATAGCATCAAATTCAAGATCAAAGATAGCTACACCTGCCCTAGACAGCTCTCCCCAGCGGGGAATCTCACTGGCCTCGGGGAACTGCTGACGCCAAGCGTCCGTCAGGCGGCCAAATCAGCGCTGAGTGGAGTGGGCACCCCCGCACTGCTCACTCGCGCGGTCGCTGGAACGGACGACGTAGGTGCAGGGACTAAAGCCCCAAGCACGCTGACGCTGCGTGTACCACTCTCGGAGCTGCTGAGGCAGGGAGATGTCCCGAGAACGCTGCTGCTGCTGCTAGCGCTGACCTCCACCAGAGCCGCTCCGCTGCGGGGCACCACCCCGACCAGCTCCACCCCCTCCGCCACCACGGCCTCCACCTCTGCCACCTCCGCCACCACCGCCGCCGCCACCGCCTCCGCTACTGCCACCACCACCGCCACCCCCGCCACCACTCCCACCGCCACCCCCACTCCCTCCGCCCGCTCCACCGCCACCTCCACCGCCCCCGCCAGCTCCACCCGCGCCCTTGCCCCCCTTGCCTTTACCAGAGCGGCGTCTCCCGCTAGGGGCAGACGCCGCGCCAACCAACTCAAGGCCAAGCAGGTCGGCGGCAGCGGCAGAGGCAAGAGAGGGCAGCAGGGGGGAAGGAGAACACCCCTCAAAGATGGGGGTGCGAGGGTCACCACGAGAAGCTCCTACAGCGACGATGCTCTGCTCCGTTGCCAGGAGAGCCTTCTCGAGGAGGTCAACAGTGAGAGTGGTGGGACAGACCGAGAGGAAGTGGTCCCTGACTAGGCGAAGGGAGTCAGGGAGGCGGGTGACTATGTAATAGAGAGTGATGTACATGGGGGGGGGGGGGGGGGGGTTCTTGGCGCAGAACTGAGCAGGAAGCGCGGCGCGGTAGCGAGTGTCACTAGTCTGGAGGTGCGTAATGAGGTCAGCGACTGTGGGAAAGGAAGCAAGGTCACGAAAGAGGTACGGTAGCATGAGGCGGCTCAGTGCAGCAGTGGCAGTGGAAGAGTAGCGCGCAACTACAGCGTCGTACAAGGTCTGAGCACTCTTGTACTGACTAAAGTGCGCGCGCTCAGTGGTAGGCAGGTGGCGACGCACAGCAAGACGTGCAGCAGCATCGCGGGTGGCCCACTGAGAGCAAACAGTGGGGTCAGCATCAGCAGCAGGGGCAGGAGAGGCGCCAGATGTGAGCTCAAAGAGAGACAGACCGTCCGCCCTATCGCACTGTCAAAACAGCTGCAGGTCGTCGACCCAGACCTCAAAGTCAATGGCTCGACCCTCAGCGTCAAAAGCGAGGACACTAGGGGTGGCCATGACGAGAGACTAGCAGTGCAAGCAGTGGGGGGGAAGGGCACGCATTGGCAGTGGGGCTGTGCTCCCCAGACAGGGCAGGTCGGGCGGCTCGGCAGTAGAGCGGCTCGGCTGCAGGGCGGCTCGGCGGCTCGGCTGCTGGGCGGCTCAGCGGCTGGCTGCTGGGCAGCTCGGCAGTACTGCGGCTCGGCGGCTCGGCGGCTCGGCTGCTGGGCGGCCTGGCTGCTGGGCGGCTCGGCTCCTCCGATACACGGTGGCACGGCGGGCGGCTGCTCCGGTGCACGCTGCAGGGTGGTGGAGTGGGCGGCGGCTCGGGTGGCGCGGCAGGGGAGGAGAGCGGCGGGGCCGCTAAGGAAGGGCGGCGGAGCCGCGTGAGCAGGGCGGCGGGGCTGCTAAGCAGGGCGGCGGGGCCGCTTAGCCGAGGGCGGCGGGGCCGTGGTAGCAGGGCAGCGGGGCCGCGATGGAAGGGCGGCGGGGCCGCTAAGGAAGGGAGGCGGGGCCGCGAAGTGCAGGGCGGCGGGGCCGCTGAAGGAAGGGCGGCGGGGCCGCGAGGTGCAGGGCGGCGGGGCCGCTGAAGGAAGGGCGGCGGGGTCGCGAGGTGCAGGGCGGCGGGGCCGTCAAAGCAGGGCAGCGGGGCCGCCAAGTGCAGGGCGGCGGGGCCACTGAAGGAAGGGCGGTGGGGCGGCGAGGTGCAGGGCGGCGGGGCCGTCGAAGTAGGGCGGCGGGGCTGCTTAGCAGAGGGCGGCTAGGCCGCGAAGTGCAGGGCGGCGGGCCCGCGAAGGAAGGGCGGCGGGGCCGCGATAGAAGGGCGGCGGGGCCGCAAAGCGTAGGGCGGTAGGGCCGCTAGGGGAGAGAAGGCCGCTAGGGCGGCTCAGTAAGTGAATAGCCCGAGGCGCGACTCGGGATGAGTGCGCTTCGGGCAGTAAAAAAATCGAAGTGGTGGGCATTAGGCGCAGTTCCCACAAGGGAACCTGCTCGATACCATGAGAAGATTTGAACGAGAATGAAGCAACTATGAATGAAGTGAGTACATATATGAAACCCTAATTGGGTTGTACCCCCTATGGGATACCCCACTATTGCCTAAACAACAGCATAAGCTATAATGTTCTGACATCTAATGCATATGTATATGGAAAATGGTGCATTGGCCAGGTCAGTCAGTATGGGAACTTAGAGTGCAAATGCCTGGGAGAACGGAACCGCTCCGATCTCGCATAGTAGACAGAGTCTAGTGGTCTCACTCAAATATAAGGTAGGAAATATATTAATCGAGTGAACGTAAGGGTTTGAAAGGTAACTAACGCACATGTGTAGAGAAAATGGTGCATCGGCCAGTTTGGCCGGCATTTCGCACTTATAGTGCAAGTGGGGCCAGGGAGAACGAAAACGCTCGTTTCTCAAAAAGTAGAGGGAATCTAGCAGTCTCACTCGATCAGAAGGTGGGAAATATATTGATCTACTCAGAAAAAAAGGTTTGAAAGGTATCTAACGCGCATGTATAGAGAAAATGGTGCATTGGCCAGGTCGGTCAGTATCGGAACTTAAAATGCAAATGCTAGGGAGAACGGAAGCGCTCAGATTTCGCATAGTACACGGAATGAAGTGGTCTCACTCAAATAGAAAGTAGGAAATATATTCATCTAGTGAACGTAAGGGTTTCAAAGGTAAGTAACGCACATGTGTAGAGAAAATGGTGCATCGGCCAATCTGGTCGGCATTTCGCACTTATAGTGCAAGTAGGGCCAGGGAGAACGGAAACGCTTGTTTCTCAAAAAGTAAAGGAAATCTAGCGGTCTCACTCGATCAGAAGGTGGGAAATATATAAATCTAGTCAGATAATAAGGTTTGAAAGGTATATAACGCACATGTATATGGAAAATGGTGCATTGGCCAGGTCGGTCAGTATGGGAACTTAGAGTGCAAATGCCTGGGAGAACGGAAGCGCTCAGATCTCGCATAGTACACGGAATCTAGTGGTCTCACTCAAATAGATAGTAGGAAATATATTCATCTAGTGAACGTAAGGGTTTGGAAGGTAACTAGCACACATGTGTAGCGAAAATGGGTCATCAGCCAGTCTGGGCGACATTTCGCACTTATAGTGCAAGTAGGGCCAAGGAGAACGTAAACGCTCATTTCTCAAAAAGTGAAGGGAATCTAGCGCTCTCACTCGATCAGAAGGTGGGAAATATATAAATCTAGTCAGCTAAAAAGGTTTGAAAGGTATCTAACGCACATGTATAGAGAAAATGGTGCATTGGCCAGGTCGATAATTATCGGAACTTATAATGCAAATGCCAGGGAGAACGGAAGCGCTCAGATCTCGCATAGTACACGGAATCAAGTGGTCTCACTCAAATAGAAAGTAGGAAATATATTCATCTAGTGAACGTAAGGGTTTGAAAGGTAACTAACGCACATGTGTAGAGAAAATGGTGCATCGGCCAGTCTGGCCGGCATTTCGCACTTATAGTGCAAGTAGGGCCAGGGAGAACGGAAACGCTCGTTTCTCAAAAAGTAGAGGGAATCTAGCGGTCTCACTCGATCAGAAGGTGAGAAATATATAAATCTAGTCAGCTAAAAAGGTTTGAAATTGTCAACGGGAGCGTTGTAAGGCCCCGTCCTCGCTTGGGCGGAGCCAACCTTTTGGTCGGATGTGCGAGGGGTGCAGCCGACCTGCAGCAGTGGGCACGGGGGCCACTGCAAGGGCACCGAGTTGGAAGGCGCCTGGCTGGAGGGCGCCGAGCAGGAGGACGCCGAGCTGGGCGTCGCCATGACCACCCGGACGCCTGGTCGACGTCCTGGGCGTCTGCACGGCGTCCGGGGGGTCCGGACGCTGACCTGGGCGTCTGGGGGGCCCTGACACCGACCTGCGTGTCTGGTCGGCATCCTCGGAGGAGGGACACCACTCTGGAGGTCTGGTCGGCGTCCTAGGCACGCCGACCTGGGGGTTTGGAAGGCGTCCTGGGCGCCTCGACGTCGGATTGGGGACGCCGGGCATGCGTGGCCGGCTACGGACTGCGTGAGCCGACCAGGCGTGGTTGCCCGGTCGATCAGGATACCTGGGCGACATGCGCGAGTGTCGCCAGGGTAGAGATTGCGAGGCCGACCTCGGGGGTCGTATCCCGAGGTCGACGTGGCTGGTGGACACAGTCGCTGACGTGGAGTCTACCAAGCGTCTGCGTTGTGCACGTGACAAGGAAGTGCGCACCAACCAGCTGCGCGCACCTGCGAAGCAGGTGCACCGTTGTCCTGCGGATGCAACGCTGTGCAGCCGTCTTGGTGCAGCGCTGGCACAGCGTGGACTTGCAACGTTGGCGAACCGCTACTCTGCAACGCTGGAGTGGTGCGAGCACTGCTGTGCTGGAGCGCGGTCGACCGTGCTGCGTTGGAGGTCGACCCGAAGCCTAGCTAGCACTGATGTAGTCTGTGGTGCCAATGTTGTTGCGATCATTGTTGTCATGTTTTCCTAGTGAAACTCTTGCAAATTCTCCCCGTGAACTAGCAAGGAGCGTGAACACAAGGAAACGACCAAGTGAACGAACGCAGAGATCACACAAGCCTAGCCCGTAGCCTAGCTCCCGTTGCTGCAGTTATCTCCGCATGGTGCGGTAAGCGTGGACGACACCGCGACGTAGTTCAGTCTAGCCGACAGCACATACCGATCGTGTTCGTAGACCGGCAGCCGCGTAGTCACTAGCGTGCGCGTAGGCGACGCCGAGGTGATGGACACCCTGGAGGGACGGCTGGAGGATGCGAGGAGATGCCATGAGGCCCAGGAGTATGGGGCTATACCCTGGGCAGTCGTCGAGGCCAGACTCCGCTCCGTGTGTGCGGCGGAGCACCCCCCTTGTCGACGTGCCTCTCCTTGACCGGTGAACAACGACGGCGGCGTCGATGTGGGCGTCAACCCTGGTGGAGGTCAGGTCGGCAGCAGTGTGGGAGGCACGTCGAGGCAACGAGGTGTGATACACGCCGGTGAAGCCGGCGGCGTTCAGGCGCGAGGGATGCAGTCGTCGACGGCTGCAGGCTCCTCACATGGTGACGCCGGAGGGCGTCGAAGCGGACTGTCGCCGATGTCAGCGTCCCAGGTGACGGCAGGTGGGATTGCACCGAGCTACGGCTACTTCAAGTTTACGCCAGACAGGATCTCGGTCACCCCTCCGCTGGTCGGTCGACCCGACATTCTCACCTGGAAGGAAGCCATCCAGCCCCAGCTGGAGATGGCCGGGCTGATCGGCTTCGCCCGACGGACTGTGGCAACGCCGGGGGAGCACCACCCCGACCTGCGTGCGGAGTTTCGCGCCGTGCAGCTGTTGACCTTCACGGTCATCTCGCGGTGCTGCTCGCCGGGCGTGCAGATCGCCTTGAAGTGGTGCCGGGAGTACATCGACGCTGGTCACCGGGCGTGGCACTTCATTGAGTCGACGTACCAGGTCATCGACGACCTGTTCATCGCCCATCTGGAGGGACAGCTGACGCACCTGCGTATGGGTGACGAGGAGACATCGACTGACTACTGCAACCGAGCCCGGCGAATTCTCGCCACTATCAGGATGGCCGGCGCGCAGTACTCCACGGCGTCGTACATCACCCATGTCATGCAGGGTCTCTCTAGCAGCTACAATCTGCTGAAATGACTGTCTATGGCGCCGAGCACAAGGGCGACGCTCAACGATGACAACCTGACCTCGTATATCCTGCAGGACGAGGCGATGCAGGAGGCTGAGCGGTTGCAGGAGCTCTTGGCGCAGGCAAACTTGGTCACCTCAACGAAGCAAGGAGGCCGACCGGGGCAGCACGGGCAGTCTGGCGGTGGTGGTAGCAGTGGCCGGAAGCCGGCCAAGGAGATCGACAAGAGGAAGTCGACCAAGGACAGCGGACGTGGAGGTGGAGGTCGACGTCGGGAGTGCTGGCTGTGCGGGGATCCCGGCCATCTCTCCTTCGAGTGTCCCAACTGCAGTGACTCCGACGATGACGATGCTAAGGGAGGCCGTGGG